CAATCACCAGGCGATGGTGAGTTCTAGTTCCACTTTAGGCATGAAAGCCTGCTGGGTGGCTTTGGGCCAATCTCCAGGCGATGGTGAGTTCTAGTTCCACTTTAGACATGAAAGGCAATTGGGAGACTTTGGGTTAATCACCAGGAGATGGTGAGTTCGAGTCCCACCTTAGGCACAAAAGCCAACTGGGTAACTAAGTCACTCTCTTTCATCTCAAGTCATCCCTCTTATTTTGTGGAGAAAAAAAAAAGAGAAGGAAAGAACGTTGGGTATGTTCGCTGCCTTAAGTGATTGATAAAAATAAAAAAGGTGGGATAAAAAAATAAATTTAATATTATCTAGTTGGGTAAGAAATATCTGCAAGCAAACAACGAAGCTTAGAGAGCACCAAGGACGCCGCAGTGTTTGACGTATCTCCAAGTCTCCTATTTCGACACTACATTTCCTGTTTATAAGGTGGTCCTAAGGTCTTCAAAATAGTATAAAAGTATAAAATACACACATTGAGTGATGTGCAACCAATATCCACATACCTGTAAAACGAAAGTTAATCGATTCTGGAAGACCTAGAAGAGATGAAAAGGTTAGGAAAACACAATTGTTTGCAGCCCAGAGAATCATACAATATAAAATGAAATTGATCCACTATACAGGTATGATGTCACAAAGAATTTGTGGAAGGGAAAAGACAGAAATCCAACTGTATTTGGAAATACTGGCTGCATTCTCAGTAGATGCAAGACCACCATTTTTAAGATAATTAAGACAGAAAAATAGTTTTCTATTTGGGTGAAGATTTCAAAATTTGGTTTATTTTGAAGCAAAATGTGCTAGGTCTCCATGAGTTGACAGATAACAGTTAATCAAGTTGGAAGGGACCCTGTAGGTCATCTAGTCCAACTCCCTGCCCAAGCAGGAGATCCTACACCATTTCTGACAGATTGGAGTCCAATCTCTTCTTGAAGGTCTCAAGTGATGGCGCTCCCACAACTTCCGAGGGCAAGCTGTTCCATTGGCTGATTGTTCTCACTGTCAGAAAATTTCTCCTTATTTCCAGGTTAAATCTCTCCTTGTTCAATTTCCATCTATTATTCCTTGTCTGGCTACAGGCACTTTAGAAAATAGCGTGACCCCCTCCTCCCTGTGGCAGCCCTTCAAATATTGGAAGACTGCTATCATGTCTCCCCTGGTCCTTCTCACTAGACTAGCCAAGCCCAGTTCCTGCAAACCTTCTTCATATGTTTTAGTCTCCAGTCCCCTCATCATCCTGGTTGCTCTTCTCTGTACTTTTTCTAGAGTCTCAACATCTTATAATTATATTTTTTATAATGTGGTGACCAAAACTGGATGCAGTACTCTAGGTGTGGTCTCACTAAGGCTTTGTTGAGTGGTATTAGTACTTCCCTTGTTCTTGACTGTATCCCTCTGATAATGCAACTTAGGATTGCATTAGCTTTTTTGGCTGCTGCTGCACACTGCTGGCTCCTATTTAGCTGGTTGTCCACTAAGACTCCAAGATCCCTCTCACAGTTACTGCTATTGAGCCTGGTTTCACCCAGTCTATAAGTGTAGTTTTGGTTTTTCTTGCCTAAGTGTAGGACTTTACTTTTCTCTACATTGAATTTCATTTTGTTAGATATGGCCCAGGGTCCTAGTCTGTCAAGATCCATCTGGATCTTGAGCCTATCATCTTGGGTGTTAGCTATTCCTGCCAGCTTAGTATCATCTGCAAATTTGATAAGTTCCCCTTCTATTCCCTCATCTAAGTCGTAAATGAAGATATTGAAGAGTACTGGGCCTAAGACGGAACCTTGTGGCACCCCACTGCTTACTTCCCTCCATTTAGACTTAGACTCATTAAGGACTAGTCGTTGAGTACCGTTTGTCAGCCAGTTGCGAATCCATCTGGTGATGGTGCTATCTATCCCACTTTTTTCTAGCTTACCAGAAAAAAGAGTTAGAGCAGGGGTGTCAAATTCGAGGCCCACAGGCCAGATCTGGCCCGCAATATGGTTCAATCCAGCCCACGGGGCCATCTTGGTCTACTCAATGTGAAGAGGGAACACGCCAGCAGTTTGGGGAATAGAGTCAAACTAACCACGCCCACCCAGTCAGCCATACCCACCCAGTCGGCCCCGCCAACTCCCCCCGCCCCAAGGTCAACAATAGCCCTCATATGGCCCTCAATGAAATTGTGTTTGACACCCCTGAGTTAAGAGGAAGTCCTAAAACTAGAAATTCTCCAGTCTTCTGCACCTCCAACAATGTTTCTCAGTCCAGTGGTGGAATACAAGGGTGGCCATTCATACTTCCAAATTCAATGTTTACTGCCTGATTCACTGGAGGGACAGAAATCAACCAGAAATCAATGTTGAGAAAGCCAATGAATCATCTCTTCCTGTACATTTTTAAAAGCTCTCTAGCATTTCGAGTTAAAAGTCCTTGAGAAAAGAGAAGCTGGATAAAAGAGTCCTTAAGGACCAGTTTCTAGCCTTCCTCTGATTTTTTTTAGATAATCGATCTTGCCTCTTTATTAAATACCTTTTCTCTATCTTTTCCCCTCTCTTGCTTCCCACCAAGATTTTGAGAAATGATTTAATAAAGAGAAAGGTTTTTTTTTAGAACTGGGCTTTGGCGTTTCAAAAGGTTTTTTGGGGCTTCCCCCATGAATGCTGATAACTTGGATAATCCGGTCCTACGTGTTAGGCAGAGTAAGGTGGCAGATTTGGACTGTCATAAAAAGACAGCCAATTAACACAGGTAGTCCTCGACTTACAACAGTTCATTTTGTGACTGTTTCAAGTTACTACAACGCCACTGAAAAACGGGACTTATGACCATTTTTCACACTTATGGTGTCAGGATTCCGGAAGATACCCCCATTTAAATCATGAGTCTCGAGACAAACTTCCAAAACTTCAAAAGGATTTATTGGGAGTTAACGTGCGGCACTGCCTGGATGTAGCCGACTCTGAGACACATCATTCATTGTCACCCCTGACCCTGGTTTACCCCCACCCCTTGGGTGTAATCGTAATCCATATTCTCCAATGGGACACATCCATAGCCCAGAGTCATCAATCATGCTCTCCAGTTAGAATTTAGTGCGGCAGAAACTTCAGTCACCTAGTTACTATCTTTGAAAACATTTATGGAATGCACTTTCATTTTTGCAAGCTGCTGCACTGCTTCCCCCTCCCTTTCTGTTGCCGACTCTAAAAAGACCATAGAAACAGTTTATGAGTTGAAATATGGCGGCTGTGGCATCCCCGTGATCACGTGATCAAAATTCAGACATTTGGCATCTGACTCATATATATGACCGTTGCAGCGTCCCCAGGGCTCCCCCACTTTGAGACCTTCTGACAAGCAAAGTCAATGTGGGAAGCCCAGATTTCACTTAACAACTGTGTTCCTAATTCAACAACTGCCGTGATTCTCTTAACAATGGTGGGAAGAAAGGTCGTCAGATGGGGCAAAATTCACTTCACAAATATCTCGCTTAACAACAACAGAAAATCTGGGGCTCAACTGTGGTCGTAAGTCGAGGACTTCCTGTAGTCATCGAAATGAGTTTTGAAGGATTTGTACTGGGCAGAATGGAGAAATGTGGCTTCTTGGGTGCTTCTGATGAAACTTGAGTACAAGTACCTCAACTTATAGCCTTGGCAATGACGACCACAATTTCCTCCGTTAAACAAGGCGGTTGTCGAGCTCGTCCAATTCCTATGTCTTTTTTTTTTTGCCACCATTGATAGACGAATCACTGCAGTTGTTAAGTGAATCAGGCAGTCATTAAGCAAATCTTGGGCAGGGGGTCAGACTAGATGACCTACAAGGTCCCTTCCAACTCTGATTATCTGTTATCTGTTAAATCTGGCTTTCCCCCATTGACTTTGCATACTGGAAGTAGGCTGGGTTGGGTCACAAATGGGGATCATCTGACTTTGGGATGCTACAACTGTTGTGAATATATATATATATCCTGGTCGACACAAGTGTCCAAAATATTCTAGGCTGCATTAATAGAGGGATAGAATCAAGATCACTTGAAGTGTTAATAGCACTTTATAATGCCTTGGTAAGGTCACGCTTGGAATACTGCATGCAGTTTTTGGTCAGCCACGATGTAAAAATAACAAAGATGTGGAGACTCTAGAAAGAGAGCAGAGAAGAGCGACAAGGATGATTAGGGGACTGGAGGATAAAACATACGAAGAACGGTTGCTGTAACTGGGTATGTCTAGTCTGATGAAAAGAAGGACTGGGGTGACATGATAGCAGTCAGCCAATATTTGAGGAGCTGCCCCAAAGAAGAGGGAGTCAAACTATTCTCCAAGGCACCTGAGGGCAGGACAAGAAGCAATGGGTGGAAACTAATCCAGGAGAGAAGCAACCTAGAACTAAGGAGAAAATTCTTAACAGTGTGAACAATTAAACAATGGAACAGCTCGCCTTCAAAAGTTGTGGGTGCTCCATCACTGGAGGTTTTTAAGAAGAGACTGGACAGCCATTTGTTTGAAGTGGTATAGGGCTTCCTGCCTAAGCAGAGGGCTGGACTAGAGGACCTCCAAGGTCCCTTCCAACTCTGTTATTCCATTTTTTTTCAACATGATCATGTGACGATGGGGATGCTGCAACGGTTGTAAGTGTGAACATCCGCCGTAAGTCACTTCTTTTCAGCGCTGTCGTTACTTTGAGTGGTCACTAAATGAACAGTTGTAAGTCGAGGATTACCCCCTAAGTTTGGTATACTATCCTTAACCAAGGTGGGAAGACGGGGATAAAATGCAGCCCTGGTCCAAGCTTCAGGATCTTTGGGGATCTTATTTAAAAGCAACTCAGGATTTTAACAACCGTGTGTGTGTGTGGGGGGGGGTATTTTTAAGTACCTTAGGCCTGTTTATAGCAAAGGCTGACACAAAATCTATCTTTAAAATGTGGAAAAAAAGGAGTACTTTTGAAAAATGCCCTGCGTTTCAGCTTTTGGCAGCTCGTTTCAGTACAGCTCTCATTCATTTTGATGCATTGTGCGCCCCGTGTTTCGCTCCTGGCTGGCTAAAAACACAGCAAGCAAAGCATGTTGGTTCCTATTGGACTTTGTATGTTTGTTCCTTTTGCAGACATAAAAATAGCAGCACCTTGGACTGCAACGCATCTAAGGTGTAACGTCTAAGCAATGCCTAATAACGCAAGCAAATTTGATAGGACCTGGGGGAATTTCATGAGCTGATATTAATTCATCAACTGATACTGATCTGATGATTAGCAGTATAATTGCTGCAAAATTTGATTGTGAAACACACACGCACACGGCCCCACAAATCATGGATGGCCCTATATTATTAGACAGAACAGAGAAATTATAAATGGCTTCACTGCAAGGCAGAATTAATATTCACCCAACAAACTGGAATGGATTGCCACATCACGAGGAGGCTGGTGTTTTAACTATTCTTCATGATTTCCTTTGGTGGAGTCCTAAATTTCAGGATATTGGACTTGGCATTACCTTGCTAGCTAACAGAGGGGCTAATAGAAGCATCATGCTCTGCGTTCACCACGCATGCCTGGAAGATGAATCTGAATGACGTTTCTGGCTTAAGACTAACATTTTTAGCATTCTATAACGTAAGACTAACGTACGACTAAAATGCCATAACATTTCTTGCACAAAACGCAAGACAAAAAACAATGGATGGAAACTAACCAAGGAGAGAAGCAACCTAGAACTAAGGAGCAAATTCGTAATGGTGAGAGCAAAAATGTTAGTCTTTTTAACATTCTAGCACAGTGGCGGCTAACCTTTTGGGGCTCCCGTGCCAAAAATTGTGCGCACGCTCGCATGCCAGCACCCAGAAGTCAATGTGCCCCACCCCCCCCCACGCACGCACACACTGCGCATGCGTGCTCCTTCCATCTGATTTTCGGCCCATTTGAGGCCTTTTTCAGCCTCCCTGAGGCTTGAGGGAAGCCTCTGCAGCCTCGGGAGACCGAAAAACAGGCCTGTTTCGTCACTTCAAAATGGGCTGTTTTTCAGCCTCCAAAGGCTGCAGAAGCTTCCCTTGAGACTCAAGGAGGCCGAAAAAGGCCTCAAATGGGCTAAAAATCAGCTGGAAGGTGTATACACGCGCAGTGCAGTTAAGTTTGGCTGGGGCTTGCATGCCCACACAAATGGCTCCGCGTGTCATCTGTGGCACATGTGCCATAGGTTCGCCATCACGGTTCCAGCATAAGGCTAACATAAGACGAAAATGCCATCACGTTTCTTGCACCAAAAGGCAAGACTAGAAACAATGGATGGAAACTACCAAGGAGAGAAACAACCTAGAACTAAAGAGAAATTTCCTAATGGTGAGAGAAATCAACCAGTGAAACAGCTGCCTTCAGAAGTTGTGGGTACTCTAACAGTGGACATCAGTTACCCTTATCATAATGCGTTGTTTTGAGGACGAAAAGTGTGTCTTTTTTGGCAGAACATTTTTAAAGGGCCATAGATCCTTCATAAGTATTTGACCCAGGTGCTTCCTTGGTTTTCTTATGGCTGGGATCTTAAATCCTTCAAATATTGTTAAAATCTATTGCTCAACCTTCCCACCGTTGTCTAGATCGATGTTCTTCAACATCAAAAGATGGTGTAGACTTCAACTCCCAGAATTCCCCAACCAGCCTATTGACCTCCACTCATCTTAAGGTTAGAATAGAATAACAGAGTTGGAAGGGACCTTGGAGGTCTTCTAGTCCAGCCCTCTGCTTAGGCAGGAAATCCAATACCATTTCAGACAAAAGGTTGTCCAATCTCATCTTAAAAACTTCTGGTGTTGGAGCATCCACAGCTTCTAGAGGCAAGTTGTTCCACGGATTAATTGTTCTGTCAGGAAATTTCTCCTTAGTTCTAAGGTTGCTTCTCTCCTTAATTAGTTTCCATCACTTCTTGTCCTGCCTTCAGGTGCTTTGGAAAATAGCTTGACTCCCTCTTCTTTGTGGCAGCCCCTGAGATACTGGAACACTGCTATCATGTCACCCCTGGTCCTTCTTTTCATCAAACTAGACACACCCAAGTCAAACAATCATTTTTCATATGTTTTAGCCTCCAGTCCCCTAATCATCCTTTTGCTGAGAAATATTGGTTTAGAGAACATTGGGAAGGTATGGATGGAAATCTATGAATGAGTGCTAGTTAGTGGGTTAAATTCTTACCAGCAAAGGAGAATTCCATCAGCTCTCTAATATGCGGTCCAGCACTAGGTGGACGATAGACAATTTTGCCATTGTTGATGTCCGTTTGGGTAAAAGTAGTTACCGGGATGAATGGTTTGTCTCTGTGCTCTACTATGCCTGTTACAATGGAGAGAGAGTTTATTTATTTCTTAGTTAATCTCAACAGACTATAAACAATCCATCATTGTTAGGTAAATAAGTACAGTAGTCAAATATTGTACATAAATTCTAACAAATATGTTTTCTATAAGACTGTAATTATGTTCTTCCAAAGTTCTGCTGATGGGTCCATAACTTCAGAGTGGCTTTGTCCACAACACTTAAACCTGCATTCACTTAATAAGGATAGAACCTTCAACCAGCCATTCCATCTTGCTTAACTCCTCTTGATACATGTGGCTGTCTAGTTTCTGATTAACCAATCAGAATTTCTATGGATTTTATATGAGGCTAATCAAAACCCCAAGGCTTGCAGTGCTCATGTCCACCAAAATCTCTATTATCAGAGCGTTAAATATGAGTCTTTGGAACTTGTCAATTTTGCTTCAAATATGATATGAATAAGTATTCTTTCCCAGTTCAGATTTTAATCCCAGTAAGAGCATTCTCTTCCATTCAACATCTGATGTTCAATAGTTCTGCAGAAACAACCCAGTCCTCAATTCACCAGCCTGAGAAGTGCAAAAAGGATGTGTGAGAATTCAGATTTGCACCCTATTTCTCAGTTTTGAAGGGTAACCATTTTGCTTAATCCAAGTCTCTCTACTTAAGATGGAGGCAAACATTCAGCTATAGCAATGACACTTATATATTGCTTCATCGTGCTTTACAGCCCTCTCTAAGAAGTTTACAGAATCAGCATACTGCCCCAAACAACCTGGGTCCTCATTTTACGACCTCGGAAGGATGGAAGGCTGAGTCAACCTTGAGCTGGTCAGAATCAAACTGCTGGCAGTCAGCAGAGTCAGCCTGCAATACTGCAATCTAACCATTGTGCCACCATGGCTCCTTCAACACTTCAGTTTTGACCAAAGAAAGTTCAGTAAGTTCCCAAGAATTTGTTAATTTATGAATGCTTAATTTATAAATACCTTCACAATTCTTCAACTTACCCTCCCCACTGCCTGGTTACCTGCCTACCGGTTTCAGTTGTAAAAACAATCACAGAGGAAAAAAAATGTATATATGAAATGATCTTGCCTTGATTTGGAGGCAAGGGTACAGTCACGTTGTACGTGATTTCTTCACTTTGAGTTTGCGAGTTGACAAAAGACAGTTGATGGGGTTGAATAGGTGTCACACGATCTTCTAGTGCCTAAAAGATAAGATATTTACCAAATAAATGTGTACTTATACACCATCTTGACTTTTTTGACTATCTTCGCCCTATAGATGGCGCTGGTCCATTTGCATCGCACTCGTGTCAGAAGCTCCAAGACTCTCACTGTTGCCTGGAGCATGCCCAGTTGGAGTCTCCTTTCATGTCCCCGGCAGGAGCTGGAGCAAAGGATGGGAGCTCACCCTTTCCCATAGCAGCATCGGGTCTTGAACATGGGCTTGCTGCTTGTCAACCCAGTGTCCTAACCATGTGAGCTATGATGCTCCTCAGCTGGTCCATTAAGTATACAAAGCCTGTATAATCCAAGTTTGCATAAATTCTCCAATAAAAACATAAAGTACAGCTTTGTTATCAGTGACCCCTGTTTAAAGAAACATGCATTTGGGGAGAAATGTAATTCTGGACTTACTGTCATGTGAAAAGAAGATCTGGAGGAGGACACAGGTGACGCCCGGTGAGGTGGTAAGATGGCAATGTTGAACAGGTGGGTCTCAAGATGAGTCTGTGGAAAACCTGCACCAGAGACCTGCAAAGATGACATCACACAAAGGAAACAGAGGCAGTGAGACTTTTATGCCTCATGACAGATAGGTTCATAGTGCAGTTAGGAGCAGTGGTGAGATTCAACCAATGTAACAACCGGTTCGGTGAGGGCGTGCACACACTGCATTTTAAAAAGCCCGTTTCAAAGTCTTACACTTACCTTCTACTGCAGCACAAAGTGACTAAAACAGCTGATGCGCGGCAAACCCCTCTGCCACGTGAATCAGCTCTGCTAAAAAAAAACAGGAAATAAAGCACAGGAAAGAGTAGGGGTGGATGGGCGGGGCCAAATGCTCAACGGAACTACCAGTTCGCTTAAACCAGTCTGAACCAGTAGAATCCCACCACTGGTTATGAAATGGTTGGAGCAGAGAGATTACAGATTACAGATAGTCTTCAATTTACACCCATTTGTTGATTGTACGCGGCCCCCACCCGAGCTCCGTTTTCACTGGCAGAGGGTTGCAGGAGGCTGTGGCAGCTGAAAATGGAGCTCATTTTCACTGGCAGAAGCACCGCAGGTCGGTCCTTCACTGATTCCAGGAGGGCCCCGTGGGCCAGATCAAAGTATCCCTCTGGGCCGGATCCAGCCCCCGGCCCTTGAGTTTGACACCCCTGTTTTAGACCAATAAAATTATAACATCTATAACAGGAACCTTTTTTTTTTCCACATGTGGGGTGAACATTTGATGTTCTGATGTTCCAAATAAATACATAGATAACAAGGCAAAAATAATGTTGGTCCTGTCTTTTTTGATATAATTCTTTAAATAATGTGTTTTCTTCTGAAATGTGTGCAATTGATTAAATCAACTCTGCAATGTCGGATATCTTAATATCCCAGAGGAGTTGTGACTTCAGTTAGGATTAATCTGGAAGCATTTTTAGAACTGAGGCAAAAGAAAACTATTTCTTTTTTTTTTTTGCCCCCTGAAAAAATGATCCAAAGATTTCATTTTAAAATAGCTTAAAAAGAAAATCACAGTGAGAAATACACCTGGGGGATGGGGAAATTTTACAGTGTAGGTTGCTGGCATAATGATAAAGCTACTTCTAAGAAGAAAAATTAGATGCAAATAAATTATGTAAGAAAATAATTATAGGATTAATCTTTAAATATGTCCAATTTTGAAGCTGTAAACTATAAAAAGGTAAGCCTCTTTTTTTTTCCAAAGAAATCAGAAACATTAAGAAAAAATGCTGCCTGTTTGTGATGGTACATTTGCACACAAAAAGAACAGAATTGAAAAGTAGATACATAAATAAAATTTCCTTCAAATTACCTGTTATGTCAAACAAACTTGCTAGAATCATCCCCTATGTACATTTGACCGAGATTTTAAGGTATTTCTAAAGGTCTTTTAATCTAGCACACAAACTATTAAAACACATACATATTTTCACCCATTCTTCCTTCTTGGGCATTGCCAAAAATCAGAAAACTAAGGTAAACCACAGCATTTATCACATTACTAATTTATGACTATTACTAATTATGATTGCTTTTATAATATTGTGATATTGGGGTTTAGATTTATTTCTGAAAGCATATCTGAATTCAAGAATGATAATTGTTTCTGTGAAAAGGAGGCGCTTGTGTATATGTAAAACCATTCTCCGATATAGTGGGGTTTATTGATAATCCCAATTGTGAGTTTGGAGTAAATATTAGAGATGATCCTACTATTGATAATGCTGTCTGTATTACCCTTTCCCTAAGGGAGAACTCTGTTAAAATTGAATTAAGGCTCACTCTCCCAGTACATGTAGTCCTTGAGTTATGACTGTAACGGAGCTTGGTCATCACTTTGCAAGTCTTGATGGTTGTAGAAAGGGACACTCATATGACTGACTCGATTTTACGTCCTTTTGTGATGATTTTTAAGCAAATATGACTGTCTTTAAGTGAACCCAATGTCAGTGTTCCAAGTAATACACCCAGTAGCAAACAGAAACAGGTAGATTCCTCAAAGAACCGTTTTATTTGGAGTTATCATATTAGCACAGACTGGTGAAAACCGACTCTGAAGGTTCCCACGGTTTTCACCTAATTAAAAGTAAAAGTTCCCCCCTTTTCCCAAACAGTCACATGGTCCAATCAAGATGCTGTCTGGTTGCTTGGTAACATCACTCCTCCTTTCTTCAGTCACCTGTGTTGGAACATCCTTGGTTCCCAGGAGAATGTATTTTGTTTTGGCTACAAAAACCCCAGCTATCTCTATTCTCTCTCCCTCCCTATTCCCCATCTCCTTTGTGGCAATACTGAAACCTCAAAAATGGCCTTCATCAGGCCAGATTCAGAGCTGACATTTAAGCAAAATGCTAGTTTTCAGCAAAAACCTACATCGGGGTCACATGATCACAAGACATGGTTGTAAATGCAGACCAGTTACCAAGTGCTCAAAATGTGGAAGAGAGCAGAACTAGGTCCCGAGTACATTTTGGGGGATCCAGTGTATCTTTGAAGAGAGGGCTACCTGTAGGTGGATTCCAAGTTCTTTCAATCAAATGCTGTCACCTGAATGGACACCGAAACCACGCCTTCTCGGTTAGCGTCCCTACTCTCTGGAAGCAGAACGGGACAACTTGCCCCAGCCAATTTGCTGTGGTCACCTCACCACACCCACCTCATCACGGCCAACTCACCATGGCCAACTCGCCACAGCCAACTCATTGCAGGACAATTCACCGCAGGGCAAATTTCAATTCAAGTTAATTATTTAAACTAGATTAACAGAAATTGTTTCAATTTTTGTCATTTAGTTTTCATTTTGTCCCTCCTTTTGCTTCCTTTCTTTAAATATTCTACTCCACCATTTCTTTGACATAAGTATAACCCTTGTCCTGCAGTGACTTGGCCCACAGCGAGTTGGCCATGTTGGCTGCAGCGAGTTAGCCATGGAGAGCTGGCTGTGGAAAGTTGACCATTGTGAGGCTGTAGTGAGTTGTCCACACAGCGAATTGTCATGGAGCCCTTCTGGAGGAGTATCCCCTCAGAGCAATGTTTTCTACCCTTGGCACCTCTGAGGGGTGTGGACTTCGGCTCCCAGAATTCCCCAGTCAGCTAGAATTCTGGGAGTTGAAGTCCACTCATCTTAAGCCTGCCCAGGTCGAGCAACACTGCCCTAGAAATACAGATGGCACTCATAGTCCCGTGATTCAGGAAGGCTTTTCACATCTACCTGTGTTGCCAGGCCTCAGGTGAGGAAGCCTATGCAGCTCCTGTCATGTTTTTAATCCTGCTTCTATCGTTTTTATAGATATTTGGTCTGGTCTGCCCTGTTTTGGCTTGCGTGCTTTTAATGGACTTTTGTTTACTTTATAACATAATAACAAAGTTGAAAGGGACCTTGGAGGTCTTCTAGTCCAACTCTCGGCTCAAGCAGGAAAGCGTATACCATTTCAGACAAATGGTGCAACCTACAGTGTTGGAGCACCCATGATTTCTGGAGGCAAGTTATTCCACTGGTATATTGTTCTAACTGTCAGGAAATGTGTCCTTAGTCCTATGCTGCTTCTATCCTTGGTTGTGTGGCCCACCAGCTGCCAGCAGAGCTGGTGGCAGATTCGGACAATAAGGAGGTTGAGCCAGTTCTGCCGCCTGGGGAAGGCTCTGATGGACGCTCAGCATCGGACACAGAGATAGAGCCAGGGCCGTCTGGCATTTCCCAGCCAGAGAGGCAGTTGCCTTTGGAGTCAGAGATGAGTGAGGAGGAGGAACATCTGGGGACTGTTCCAGATGCGCGTATGCGCAGAGCAGATAGGAGAGGTGAACAATGGAGAACAATGAGCCGGCTCAGGAAGCAAAACAAACATGGATGCTGACTGGCCCCTTCCTGGCTGGGGAATAAATAGGAGGAAAGGGGAGTGGTTTGGTTGTCACAGACAACCATTCGCATTTCTGGAAAGTTTGCTCCTTGTGTGTTTCATGGTTTCAGGTGCTTTGGAGAATAGCTTGACCCCCTCTTCTTTGTGGCAGCCCCTGAGATGGGTCCTGTAAACCATCCACAGTCCTCTGCAATGTGCAGCTACAATAAATGTAATCCAAATAAATAAACAACACACCGCTATAGTGCCTTATCCGAATGCATCCTACAACCCACACACGTCCCACAGCAGATAAGCGGCTATGCCACCGATCCCCTGAATCGATAGAAGATTTCAGAAGGGCCACCCCAAGGAACGACAGAGAAATCAATAAACGGCAACACGCAGACACCATCCTCTTACGCGACGTGAAAGAAATGTGGCACGGAATATTTCCTGACTCAAAAAAAAAAGGAAACAGAGATCGTAGAGTTTCCTAGACCACCATCAAGATTCGGTCAAGCGAACCCTTGGGGGAAAAGTCCATGGAAAGGGAAGTAAATGACAGATCTGTAAGCGAGCTTGGGGAGATCAATTCTGCGAGCGGTGGCTGGAAACGCAGTTCCCAGAATATTAATTTAAAAAAAATCATCCATCTGCATTTTCTCAGCAGCCGCTAGTCCTTCATCTGCAGCCTGGCAGATAGATTATTGTTTTGTGATAGAATAAAGCTACACACAGCTACTCTACACCTCCCTACACACACACACAAGAAACCACACAAAAGTTTAACTACATAATTATTTCCACAGTTGCAATATAGTTCTTCAGAAAAGCCCAAACTGCGACCTTCCCTTCCATCATGCTACACACTGAAAAATGCATACAGGACAACCACAAGTCCAAAATCTCAGAGTAGCACAGAACTGGGACTCTTTACCTGGGAAACTGAGGAACAAAAATGCCACAAGAATATTGTAAAGTATAAGGCTATCCTGCTCCTTTTATTAATTGGCTGTAACAACTAAAGGTAGTCCTCGACTTACAACAGTTACAATGGCACTGGGGGGAGGGGGGGGAGTTACTTAGGATCATTTTATTTTACAACCATTTGAAGCAACCCTGTAGTCATGTGATCAACATTTGGGTGATTGGTAATTGGCAATGGTTAGAATAGAATAACAGAGTTGGAAGGGACCTTGGAGGTCTTCTAGTCCAACCTCCTGCTTAGGCAGGAAACCCTACCCCATTTCAGGCAAATGGTTATCCAAGATCCCAGGATCATGCGATTACCCAATACTGACAAGCATCGAATCTGGCTTCAATGGGGAAGACAGAGTCCCTAAACACCCATGTTAATAACTTAATAACTGCAGTGATTCACTTAACAACAAGAAAAATCGTAAAACGGAACAAAACTCACTTAACAACCATTTTGCTTATCAACAGCATATTTGGGCATATTTTAGCCTCCAATCCCCTCATCATCTTTGTTGCTCTTCTCTGCACTCTTTCTAGAGTTTCAACGTTTTTTTGATATCATGGTGACCAAAACTGGATGCAGGATTCCAAATGTGGTCTTACCAAGGCATTATCAAACAAGACCGAATAAAAGGACTCGTTATCAGGTTCCAAGAAATGCAATCATGATAAAAGGAATTCCGAGGCATTTCAATTCCTCAAAGAACCAGTTTATTAAGATACCACCATCTTCGCACTAACTCATGGAAAGCCACTACGGAAAGATTCCCGGCTTTCCACACCACTATAACTAGAATTGTCTCAAATTTTCCAAAAGAATAGGTCACATTGTCCAATCAGGATGTGAAACTGTTTCCTGGTAACTTCGCTCCTCTTTCCTCTGGCCAAGCAGCTATCCAGCTATGTTGTTCTGGCTGGAGCTCCATTATTTGTATCCTATGACTACCATTAAGGGCTGTCCCCTATGATTCTTGATGACAACATAATGACCAAATTAGTAGAGCAGCAAAATACTGTGGACATAATATACTTAGATTTCAGCAAGGCATTCGACAAAATAGACCATAGCCTACTTTTTGGTAAGCTAGAAAAACGTGGAATAGATAGCACCACCACCAGATGGATTTGCAACTGGCTGGCAAAACGTACTCAACGAGTAGTCCTTAATGGGTCTAAGTCTACATGGAGGGAAGTAAGCAGTGGGGTGCCACAAGGTTCCGTCTTAGGCCCAGGACTCTTCAATATCTTCATTAACGACTTAGGTGAGGGAATAGAAGGGGAACCTACAAAATTCGCAGATGATACTAAGTTGGCAGGAATAGCTAACACCCAAGATGATAGGCTCAAGATCCAGATGCATCTTGACAGACTAGAACACTGGGCCATATCTAACAAAATGGAATTCAATGTAGAGAAAAGTAAAGTCCTACACTTAGGCAAGAAAAACCAAAAGTACACATACAGACTGGGTGAAACCAGGCTAACAGCAGTAACCGTGAGAAGGATCTTGGAGTCTGTGGGCAACCAGCTAAATATGAGCCAGCAGTGTTCAGCAGCTGCCAAAAAAGCTAACAGAGGGATAGAGATCAAGTGAGGTGCTAATACCACTCAACAAAGCCTTAGTAAGACCACACCTAGAGTACTGCATCCAGTTTTGGTCACCACACTATAAAAACGATGTTGAGACTCTAGAAAAAGTACAGAGAGAGGAACCAGGATGATTAGGGGACCGGAGACTAAAACATATAGAGAATGGTTACAGGAACTGGGCATGGCTAATCTAGTGAAGAGAAGGACCTGGGGAGACATGTTAGCAGTCTTCCAATATTTGAGGGGCTGCCACAGAGAGGAGGGAGTCAAACTATTTTCCAAGGCACTCAAAAGCCAGACAAGGAATAATGGATGGAAACTGAACCGGGAGAGATTTAACCTGGAAATAAGGAGAAATTTTCTGACAGTGAGAACAATCAACCAATGGAACAGAAGTTACCCTCAGAAGTTATGGGAGTTTCATCACTTGAGACTTTCAAGAAGCGATCGGACTCCCACCTGTCAGAAATGGTGTAGGGTCTCCTGCCTGGGCAGGGGGTTGGACAAGATGACCTACAAGGTCTCTTCCAACTCTGATTATCTGTTAAGTACTGTTTATGCATACTGAGAGTATATGCACCAAGACAAATTCCTTGTGTGTCTAATCACACTTGGCCAATAAAGAATTCATTCATTCATTCATTCATCCACCTCAGCTATCCCTCCTTCCAGCTCTCAAGTATGTCAAACTGAATTCATATGAATCCACCACCTAACCAAATTCAGGCTTGACACTCATTACTTAACGATGGTGTAACGTACCTGGAAGCGGAATGAGTCACTCTCTGTCTCGGCTCCAGAGTGCCTGTACCAAATGACACCTTCATTGATGTCCTGTTGGGTGAAGGTGGTTGTTGGGGTAGCTCTACCACCACTGGCCAAAGGCTGCCATCCTAATCCAGAATCATCGGCCGGCATGGGAACTAGAAATACCACTTCACCTAGGAAAGCAGAGAGAAAGAGATAGGAGGACACTTCGAAGAAGTGAATGTTAGGGGTTTTCAAAATTGTGGTACTTTGACGGACCACTAAAATTATGACCTTGAGATTTGAAGGTCCTAATAGCAATAGCACTTAGACTTATATACCATTTTACACTGCTTTACAGCCCTCTCTAAGTGGTGTACAAATTCAGCATATCGCCCCCAATGATCTGGGTCCTCATTTTACCGAAATTTGGAAGGATGGAAAGCTGAGTCAACCTTGAGTCGGTTAGGATTGAACTGCTGACAGTTGGCAGAGTCAGCCTGCAATACTGCCTTCTAACCGCTGCGCCTTCTACTTCCCTAAATGGTACGGCTGCACTTTCAGCTCAAAGCCCCACAGAACATGTGAAAATGTACTCTGTGTGCAAAAAAGTACATTATTAAGGATGAAATGCCTACAAAATGAAGGAGAATATGTGTAAGAGAGAGCTCCCTATTTTTCTACTTGCATTTTTACATGCTTTCGAACTACTAGGTTGGCAGAAGCTGGGCCAAGTAACGGGAGCTCACTCTGTTATGTGGCGCTAGGGATTCGAACCGCCGAACTGCCGACCTTTCTGATCAACAAAAGCTCAGCGTCTTAGCCACCGTGTCCCTTATTTTCCCTGGTAGCATCCACCCTGAGCAAGGTAACTTTCAACCTCCGTGGCTTTTTGTTTCCTTATTTAGATTTTTTTCTCTCAGAACATTTCACTGCAAATCTCCCAGAAGAAGAATCGGACGCGTCATACCACCTTTATAAAAACTGAACATTGTTAGAGACATTTGAACTGCTCTCAACAGTCATTCGATCAAAATGGTAGTCATGGTGGGCTTCAGTATTCATGTCACTGCCTAAAGAAATCCTCTGGGCCAAAACGGGATACAGTCATTCCAGCCTTTAATCTCTTTTGACACCGGAGTTGCAGATTTTATTACCCTGACAGTCTGGATATGGCTGCTTTATCTCTGTATTTGTCCTCTTGAGAAATCAGTTCCCGGAGGGGGCTTACTACTGAACGCCTGAATTATGTAGAATGCACACATCTCCATTAAATGACCTCACACACCAAAGTGATCTGGCACGTAACTGATAACTCTTCCTCTTTATGCTCATCTCCAATTTTTTCATTCATGCAGCAGCCACTAAATTGTGCTTTGAGTGTTTAAAGAAACACCCGAATAAATATTGAGGGCTGGTTCCAGGCAATTAGTAAGGCTCAGTTCCTAGTTGAGGAACCCCAACAATTATAGCCAAGACATCTTGGAAACTGATGAAGGAAATTCCCAGCTTCAATTATCGATTATTATGAATTACATCCAATTATTACGAATTACATTCGTTAAAATGGAGTTCCTTGGACTTGTTTGAACCTCTTTTTCCCACAGTGTAAAACTAAAAGGCTAACTGCCTTCATTCCAGCCTAGTATTGCAATACATTAAATTCATTAAATAACCCATTGAAAGCTGTCGGTCATTCTCTTATGCAAAGGACTGAACGGCATACAATTTTAGAGGGATAGTTCTGTGTAATTCGTTTATTTAAAGATCGATCTCTTCCTTTTTTAACCTATTAAAGATAGGCGTATCTATCACCAGACCTTCCAACTTTGTTATTCAACTGCAGTTGAGAATCAAAACCTTCAAATGGATGTTTTTAGAGTTGTGCAATTATAAATATAAACCAAGCAAGCTTGCTATGAGGCCTGGCTATTAAAAAGAGCTTGCAGGGGGGATGCTTGATATAATTCGAAGTTGTCCTATCTCTTGTTTGTGTTTCTGGAACGTGTGAAAAAAAGTAATAAGGGACGAGAAGTTACTTTTCCACAGAAATTCTTGCAGAAAACATGAAACAGAAGTAAGGAACTTCTCCTCTGCCTGGGCCACACAGCTGCTGCTGTAGTAGTATTTGTACTTATATCACAGTCCCCCTTTTACACATGCAGCAACCGTATGGTTCAGCTTCCCGCAGTGTTCCTAGCTTCTTTATGAGCCTAGAATGGATCTCCTGGGAATAGCCCAGTCATTCAAGTCTTGATTCTCTTCCTTGACCGAGGCTGTTAAAACAGTCTGGGGACCGATCTTAGCACTAAGTGGGATTCTGGATGCAACTGTTTCCCTTCTGGCAATGCTTTATGAGAATCTGCCGATGCTATTTCCAGTGATCTGCCCATCTACTGCGCTTGAACGCTGATTTGAGATTGATGATCTGTAACCCGCCTGGAAGTTATTGTTGGCTTATTATTGTTGGTTATTCCAGCATCTGCCTTACAAAGGAGCAAAAGGCAATTTTTTCTCTCTATGGGAAGGATTCCGGTGCAGAGATCCACAGCCACCCATGCATTTATTTTTAACAATACCTGTTAACCAGGGGTGGGATTTCAAGGCAATTTCTGTAAGCAACACCAGAATGTTTCCTTCCTGCCTTCCTTACAGGATTAGGCCAGTAATTTCTTTTAACAACCGGTTCTTTGAACTGCTTAGATTTTTAACAATCTGTTCTAGCGAATAGGTGCGAACCGGTAGAATCCCATGTCTGATGTTAGCAGCAGACCAACAATCAAGAAGTAAACAATACCCCAATTCAGGAACTGTCAAACAAGATAACAGTAAACAGCCCAACCAAAGTACCAACTAGACTAGTGATGGCTAATCTTTTTGTCGTCAGGTGCTTAAAATTGCACACACGTGCGCGCACACACATGCATGCACCCATAATGCAATGCACAAAGGACCCCCCCGCCCCCTGAGCATGCACATGTACCCCCCTGTGCCGCACACTTCTGCGCATGTGCACAAAAGCCCCGTCCCCCACGTGCACCCCTGCACATGCATGCGTGTCTCCTGTGCGCGTGTCTCCCCGCGCATGTACGGCAGATACCTGACAATCAGATGGCTGGCGGGGAGTACGTGCGCATGCGCAGTGGGTCTGTTCCAGGCAATGGATCGCTTGCCGGCAGAAATAGCTCTGCGTGCCACTTCCGGCATGCGTGCCATAGGTTCACCATCATCGAACTAGACCAACACTGACACCAACAGGAGAAGCCACTAGAACAGGGGTGTCAAACTCAAGGCTCGGCGGCTGGATCTGGCCTGCGGGCTGCTTAGATCCGGTCCGCAGGGTTGCCCTGGAAACAGTCAAGGACCAGCCCCAGGTAAAATGGAGCTCGGGAGGGCTGCAGGTGGCCCTCCTGAGCTCTGTTTTCACTGGCAGAGGGTTGCAAGAAGTCATCGCAGCTGAAATGAAGTTTGCAAGGGCCGTGGGTGGCCCTCCCGAGCTCTGTTTTTGCTGGCAGAGGGTTGCAGGAGGCTGTTGCAGCCAAAAACAGAGCTTGGGAGCCTATTTTTGATGGCAGAGTGCTTGGGCCACCACAGGCACCCCCCGACATGAGTGACATCGAGCTGGCCACGCCCACCCTGGCCACACCCACCCTGGACCCCAGAGATCAAACACAACCCTGAAGTGGCCCCTCAGCAAAATCAAGTTTGACACCCCTGCTCTAGAATATAAATTGAGAACAAAATCCACTCCTACTACCACTGATGATGTTAGCTAGTTTGGTAATGAAATGTCTGCAGGAAAACAACCAAGCTCAGAGAGAACCAAGGACCCATCAGAATACTATTGCATGGGTGTGCATGACCCATCAGAATACTATTGCATGGGTGTGCATGACCTGAGGCAGGTTTAAGAATTATACCGTGCATTATAGGGCATGTCCAGGGTTCCAGAAATTAGCAAGATACCTTCGTGTTTCCCTCCTCTTCATTATTTATTTTATTCTATTAATTATTTTTATGGGGTTTGGTCACAACAAAATTTCCCTCAAGTAAACTGCAGCTCCTTTTGTCATCAGTAGGGGGAGCAAGAGCACTAGAGTGGTGTTATAGCTAGTGTTATAGCTCCCTCTGCTGATAAAGAAAAGCACTGCTTTAAAAAAAATAAAAGATTAAGAAATAAGTCACCAGACCAAAAGATTGAGAACTTAACACATTTTTTTATTTCCTTTAACTCACCTTCCTAAACAAGCAAACCAACAAACAAACAAGATCCAGAAATCTCCCACCCATCTAAAAAGGTTCTGGGGAGCACAGAAAGGAAGCTAAGCCCCATTATCTGTAGTTTTCACATCCTTGCTTTACTGAGTTTGTGCAGGTCCAGGGATATTCTCATTAATAAAAATAATGAAGGAAGGTTATTACCCTTTGCTTTCTTGCATGCCAACTTCAATTTTACTTTAATTGGATTCCTTTAATTAAAGGAATCTTTTAGATAAGATAAGCTAGCAGCCAAAGAGGTATCCATTGACAACCGTCTGCCTAGGCTTAGCATCTGAAAAAAGGCAAAATTAAACTACCCTAGGAGATGTCACATTTCGAGGATTCCCTCCAGGTATATGTTTGATTCCTTTAAATGAGGTTAATTTTGGTTTTCCCATAGAGACTTTCAGTCTCTAACTGCTGGGTATTATGAAGGTTGTGTGGCCGCTATATAAACAACTCTAGTTAGGAAAGGTTACCCTGTTCAGTCATAACATTTCCATACGGATGTTGGGCAAATCTTATTTACAAAATTGTTAAAAGACTGCGATGTCCGTGTGTGTGTGTGTGTGTGTGTGTGTGTGTGTGTTCTGCATATTCTTACAGGACAGCCTCAGCATTGGAGCATTGCAATTAATTAATCTATATCTATATCTATATCTGTCTATCTATCTATCTATCTATGTATCTATCTATCTATCTGTAGATATTAATTAATTAATTGCACAGTTGTTAAGTGAATCTCGCTTCTCCTTTGACATAAGAGATGAGATAAGATGAGATACGGTAAGGTAACATAAGGTAAGGTAAAGTAAAATAAGATAAAATAGCCTTTATCGTCATTTTTTACTGTGGGCATTGGCACACATTAAAAATGAAATTCTGTTACCTGCTCTCAAAAGAAAGTAAATATCTATATGTATGCCAGAGGTGG